CTGACGGGTTCAGAGTTCTGATATCGCCGATGTCGATATTCAGTTTTTATTCACACCAAAAAATTAGTATAAATACGCACTGCAAGAACGTAAAAACTATTTAAAAGAACCCAAATCAGACCACATAGTCCAACAGAAGTTAAACATATTTAGACATATTTTAACATATTTAATGTTAAAGGACCATTTAAGTAAAAACATCTATCAAACGTAGAGACGAAGGCGCTGATGTAAGACTATCATCGGCTAAATTTATCCATCAGACTGATACCGATGTGGTCACCGCTATATCGTGGAGCCCTAATTCATAGTAATAAAATTAATATTTTATCCACTTGGATTTTTTTTTAGCTGTGCAATAATAAAAATAAACTTTACAAACTAAAATTACTGCTTTTTAAAAGTACAAACATGTTGTACACAGTCATAATGGTTCTCCTCTAAACAACTAATTACAAACAACAGAAAACTTCCAGTCCCATCATGCTCCTCCTTTTGTCCCGTTCACCAGTTAAATATCGTGTTTATGGCGCTGAGTCAAATAGCTTCCTGCCAGGAGCCTGGGAGGATATCCTACCTCTGTCCTGTGGAGACAGAGCAGCTGAACTCTCCGGCCACAACTTTCTCTCTGTAAGTGTTTTTATTTCAGATGGAGGCAGCGGCAGGAAGCTCATACTGAGCCAATGACTTCCTGCCAAGCCACGCGTCTCCAGAAGAGACTGTACAGTCGGGGTTGGGAGGTCAGGAGGTTCGCTGTGGAGTAAACAACACACTTCACCTGCTTCTATCTGCCTCACACCCACACACAGATAACTGGAACGGTCACACTTGTTGTTTGTGCTTCTTTATCAATCAATGACTCATTATTGCTGCGATACAAAGGATTTCTTTCATTGATTTCTTATCATTGGTTGTGTTTTATTGCCATAAACAAGGCATTTAAGTTTTAGGGCTCATTCATCCAAGTCATAAAAACACACGTAGTCATGCGGATAACAATGATTTTATTACTTAAACATTCTGAGACGTTGCTGTTAAAACGTGGATCTAGTTTTGCTGGTGGTTTGTAAAGTAAGAGCTTCTGTGTTTACTTTGTTGTGGAGAGTTTGGTCAGAGTGAGACCAGCCTCATGTCTCTGCATTATGGAGCTGATTAGCTTTAAGGAGCATCAACAGCATGAGAAATGTAAAACTGACAGTTTGTTCTTTTATTCATCAGGAGTTATTTACAGCCTAAAATCACACATTCTCATTTGAACTTTTAGTGTTAATTGTGAGCATGACTGTTTGACTTGAGTTGCTGAAAACATAGCTTTTAGCAACTGTTAGCATGCTAATATGCTAAGCTGATTGTGAGTATTGTGTCTGCAAAAAAATAGCATATTAGAATTATCATTATGAACGCATTAGCATGCTAATGTAGCCATTTAGTTTAAAGTCTGAAGTTGGTGTCTTTATTCCTGTCTGCAAATATGGGAATCTGACTGATTTAAATGGAATCACCTCACAGGATTTGTGAGCGTTTGCAGAGTTTGTCCACAAGGGCAATAGTTGGTACGTAGTAATGTGCATGTGTGAGACACGTAGATACGACCTTCTGCACATGCATGCAGTGGACTCCTCCAAGCAGACTCCTGTAGACAAGGAAAGTAGTTTAATATTGGCTGTCGAAATAAACGCATTCTCTGTTCCATACACGCACAGCAGGTTGTACATACGTGTTCCCTGCATGAACACGACCGCCCTGATCGTCAGGTCGCCTTTGTGTCCACACAGGCACAAGTTTTGGGCATGCACATGGACATCCATCATGGGGTGCACATGGACATCCATCATGGGGTGCACATGGACATCCATCATGGGGTGCACATGGACATCCATCACGGGGTGCACATGGAGATGTACGTCATGTGGACGTTTGTGTACTCATGGTGATGAAAAGTAGAACTCTGGCCTGATGCCAACTACGCATCTGTTGCGTCTGTCCCAGTGCACACATGTAGGGCGTATAAAGAGCTGCTAGCATCGCAAATATGAGTGAGTTAAAAAATGATTTCAGTGTATTACACAATGACCAATAATTCTGCTTTCTTTCTTTCTTTAATGCATGTTTTAGAATAATTGTATTTTTTGTTTATGTGGATGAAGAAAAGGCGACCAGCAGTCTGATTCTGTGCTTATCTATTTAATCCTCGGCTCTCACCTGGTGTGTCCCCTCGAAACACTGGATCCTGTCACACTCTCCATGTTGACTGTAATGGAGTTGTGATGCTTTAATATGAGCATCGCTTCCTCTAGTTTTTAAGTTCCTGGTGTGGGCACAAAGCGAGCTCACACACGGCGGCGGAGGGCACGCCTCTGGCTGGTGTGTATTAATTAGCAGTATGACACTGTCATTGGGGCTCTGCTCTGCTGCCAGGCAGAAACCAGCCTTACATAAGACCCCACCACCAAGCCACCAGCAGGAACACAGTGTTCCTAACCCCTCTCTGCGCAGACTATCTGTCTGAAAAAAAGAAAAACACCTTTCCTTTTCTTTTTCTCAACCCAAATCTGTTCAGGCTCCGAAGGCAAACCGCAGGAGACGGACACGAAAGCAGAAGCCTTCGCTGTACGATGCTTGTGTTGTTGCTGGTTGTGTTCTTCAGCAAAAAAAAACCAGGACAGCATGCTAAATAAAGTGTCTCAGGGAAGCAAATGTCTCAGGACTGTGCAACAACAGTGAAGGCTTCCTAAAATACCGTTTACAGGATGCTGCTTTGAAGTCGTGGTGCGTGTGTCTATCTGGTCTATTCCTGGGCGTCCTCAATTATTCCCAAAGTTAGAATCACACTCACAATCACATGTTTGTGCACATAGACGTGCAGGGAACAGTTTTTCATGACTGTTGAAACTGGAGTCCAGAAGTGTGTGTTTTCTTCTCTTTGTCGTCACCATGTGATCCGGAGGCTTCAGACAGAAGCTTTGGACGATCAGAACGTTTCCTATCTGGAGTGAGATGGAATGCGTTACATTCCACCGAGAATAAAGACCAACATGTTCAACATATGAACTAAAGAAGCAGCACAAAGTGGATTTGTTAATTTGATTACTCACAGGCACGTGTAAACATTCTGTAAACGTTCTGTAAGCGTTCTCCAAACACGCACAGCTGATATTTTATTGCATTTATGACCCATTTAAACTTCTGCAGAGTTTCATTCTGTAAATGACCAGAGGAGCAGTTTTTAGCCTCTAGCATCAGCAGACGTCTGTAGTTCACAGTGACCTGGTCAGAACCTGGAGGAGCAGCTCGGGGGGATTTAAACCTGTAACCCAGGACGGACTTGTTTGTGCCTTGATCTACAGAACCGTACTCTAAACGGCAGTTCTGCTCCTGTACGGAGTGGACTCGATGCACCCGCTGCCCTGTAAGTTAGAACAGCATGTGTGGTATGCGCTGTAGATTACAAACATGTGAGAGGGTCTTACTGAGCGAGGAGCTGCTCCTCTGGCAGCCTCCTCCACCCGGTGCTCCACTGGGCCTCCCTGCCAGCTTGCTGCCGTGCTGTGCTGTGGCTCTTGAGGGGATTGGGAGTCGCTGGCCCCATTATTTCTCCCTGAATCAGCCTAAGGAGGGTTTCAGCCGGGCTCACTGAACTCCGTGGCGCAGCAGCAGGGCGGTGCTGTGACCCACTTACAGTAGCCGGCTCTGGCTGCTCACAGAGGAGCCGGTGGAGGCACACGGCACCGCTGATCCCAC